GTGTGTGTGTGTGTGTGTGTGTGTGTGTGTGTGTGTGTGTCTCTGCGCTATAAGAGGAGAAACAAAGGAGTGTTTGACTGGCACACGACTTAAGATACAAATGATGAGGCAGCAGAAAAGGATTGTGAGGAAACCTGTGATTATTCAGATGCCTCTGCTGCCATTAAACAGGAGGGATTAGAACAAAAAGAGAGACTGGGTGATTGCTCATAGCTTTGGTGGAGTTTACTGTAATGCTTTGTTTTATCTTGAATGCCTGATTATAAGACCGGCAAATTATAAGTGTTATTATATAGCTATGGAAAAAAGAAAATGTTTAATCTGTGAAATGACGGAGTATGATAATATATGATTTTCTACTGTATAAAGCATTGATTTCTTTAAAGGAAGTGTTACAGATAGTTAAAAAAGAAGTTCACCACATGTAATACCTACAGAATATGCAGCCGTTTGAGGTAAAACATCCTGGAATATAGACATAAACTCTTTCCCAATAAAATGACAACATATTTACATTTTACTGAAAGTGAAGTAAATAATTTTACTGAAAGTGAAGTAAATAAAACAATAATCAGAAAGAAAAGGCATTCCAGTCAAGCCTCTCAGGATGACTACATTTCTACTAATGGTAGGGGATTACCCAAAAGATTGCATGAGGATTTATGTGTGTCTGAAATGTGGATGCAAATATGGGTGTGCGTATTTATGCGAAATTCAGTAAAAGACCCAAGTTTGAACTTGTTTGGAAAAAAGGGATGACTATAAGACTGAGTCACCTTGTCTGAATGTAGAAAACAGGAGTTTCATGTGTATTCCTTGTGGCCTCAGGCAATGTGGAATACCAAATGGCGTAGGGGCATATTCAATACGAGCAGCTTCCTAGCTGCCCTTCTTCATGCCCCTCTGCCTTTTCCTCTCAAGGGAAGATATCTACTTATTCCATTGAGCATTTTTCATTAAATCCCTTCGTCTCACATTCCACGTTATCAGTTTAATCAGAATTGCTGCCATTATTTTTCATAGTAGGGATTATCTGATTACTGGGGGTTTCTCCTTAATACTGTAAGGTCTTTGCCTCGAAGTGACTATTGTTGTGACTTGGCACAGAATAAATAAACTTGACTTGACATCATTAGTGACTGACAAAGCATTCGGTTGTGGTATATAGAACTTGTCATTAGATTAGTCCAACTCTGGTACCTTTCAAAGGAAAAGAGACGAGAAGTCAGGTGAACACAGAGGAGGTTTTCTCATCTATCAAAGTATTTCCACATAGAGTTAGTCCATCCAAACCCATGTTAAGCTGCTCTGGCAATCAACCCCCCCCCACCCCCACCCACGTCTAGTCAAGACAGCATCCATTAGTGATAATAGCTCTGAAACTCTGCCACTCTCCTGCCCCTTGAAGATGATTCTTCTGCTTGGATGCAGGCAAGCATCACCATGGCTAGAAATAAGATCTAACACCTTAGTATTGTCATATAATAAGACCCCTTTCCATACAATCAGACTTTAGTTTGTGTGTAAGTGTATATGCACATGCATGAGTGTTTGTGTGTCTGTCTGTGTGTGTACAGTATGTGGCAGTAGTAGGAAGGGGTGTGATACACTCAGGATGCAGGCTCGAGCATGCACTACACAGCGGCTTGTCAGAAGCTGCTCTTCCCAGCTATTAGCCTCTCTCCGTTAGGACACACGTCCCAACATGTTCTGCACAATGCATCCCTCCCTTCCTTTCCTGATGCATCATCCAAAGCCACATCACCATTGGTTTTCCTGCCAAGCATCAAATGTGGGAAACCAGAGTTGATGAGAAAGAGAATTCACACATTTGGGACGCATGATATTTCACAGGGGAAATAAATGTGCTCCTAGTTCGAGGACTGATCGTTTTGTGCTGTAAAACAAGTGCTTTTGTAGTATACAGTGTTTAAAGAAATCAGCCTAATCAGCTAATATCTTAACTAATTTCACTATAGAACAGGGGCTCTTGTTGATGTTCTGGACTCTAAATTGATAACACAGCTAAGCGCCACAGAGAAAGCTAATATTTTAAGCATTAGGTCATGCTGTGTGTCCCATAATACTCTGTGAAACACAGTGTTTATGTTAATACTCTAAAGGAGTTAACCGTAAGACTCCATGGACTGTGCATATAGCTACTTGAAAATCACTAAAGTCGAATGGTTTTATCCTAATTAAGGTTTAATTAATTAAAAGATTTTTTTAATAGGCTCTTATGGTTCCCTCGCAGCCTAAGCTTTACTTTTTGGATTAGACAAAAAAGATTACTATATTGTAAGATTGTAATTCATTATGGTTCATTAGATCTTTTAACATGGGTGACTTTTAGGTTTCCTATACTAATTTACTTCCAATACACGATGATTACAGTGTATGAAAAGTCAGCTTATATGGTACTGTATATCAGCTCACTGTGTCTGTGTGTGTATGAATGTACATAAATAAATCTGATATTTGTTACGAAAATTTACAGCGGGCAAGCTGCTGCCTGTGAGTATGGATGACAGTTTGGCAATTAACACCTCTTCTCAAGGAACCTGTCAGGGCCTGTCTCCATTGGTCCACCGTGTAGAAGCAAAGATGAATAGATGAATGGATGGATGGATGAATAGATGGATGGACAGATGGCAATAAAATTCCTGTCCCTGTCCTGTCCCTGTCTTTTGGTGTGGATTTATGTATGTTTCTGACCAAGACAAACATGTGAGCTTCTAATACACTTTTACTGCAGTAAATCACAAACTCTCAAAATGACACACTGACCAAAGGAAATACAACATGTACATTAAAACAATGTTTTGGCAGTGGCTAAAAGCACTGTTCGCAAAACTTGTCCATCTGAAAGTCAGAAAGAATATTATAAGAGTTAACAATTTATCACAAAAGCAGTCGATCAAAAAACAGTTTTCACTAAATTGGTGAAGCTTTTACTTAATTTTCAAGTTTCCTAAAAGTTTCATTTAGGAAACTTTAAATGAAAAAAAATGAGACCACTATTTATCCGAACAACTTTAAACACAACACTACACTTCTTTTGATTTCCAGCAGGATACGTGCCAAATTTCTCCTTTTCTTGCAAGAAAAGCATAAACAGACAGATGTGTATACAGAGATTGCTTTGTTCAGTTTTTAAATTAATAAACTGTATTCTTACAATTTATTCTTTTACCCCTCTGTCCATTTTTAATTTCCTTTTCTCAGTCACCACAAGATTTATTCCAACTCAGTGACAAAGCAACTGATCCAAGTTTGGCATATTTGTTCTCCTTCTCTTCCTCTTCCTCTCTACTCTCTGTGCCTTTTTTGTGTTTTGAAACAAAGCCCAACTTGTCCATCACTCATCTTTTCCTGCATCAGATACTGCAGTTCTTTTAATAACACTGCACTTCTGACACCAACACAGCTACACTTACACACAAAGAAACATGTCTGTGTGTGTAAAAATGAAATTTAAAAAAGTAATAAAGGGCAAAAAATAAACAAAAAAGAAGGGAAAAGGAATAGTGTGGTCGTGATAGCCGCTGTCTATCAGTTACAACTGAACCAACTCACAAACACGTTCATGTGGCCTTTCCTTTTTATTGTTGGCCTCTGTAATGCAGAGATACGTGAATCCTGAGAGTCAGATAACCTGAGAATGAAATTCTTCACTTTTGTCTAATAAATTTCTTTCTTTACTATCACAAATAATTCTTGTTAGTTAGTTAGTTAGTTAGTTTTTAGAATTGCCAACACACTGTCCTATACTTATCATGTATACTCATCATGTCATCTCTCTATTATTTCTTCTCTCTGTGTTTCTATTTCTTTTTGCTTTCTATAATCTAGAAAATGCAAAGAGACAACTTCACGTGGACTCTTTGTTTTTTTTCTTACGCAGCAACACAAATGTTGACCTGCGAGTGCTGTAGTTCTCCCATACGGTACGCATTTGCATTTTAAGATCACTTTAGCAAGTCTACACAGGAAAGAACAGACTTTCTATTTTTTTTCCTGGAAGGTCGTAGTTTGATCACAACAGGAGAGATTTTTAAGATTTTGTGATTGTGTTGGGGCATGTTTAGGCCATTTCATTCCTTGTGATGTCTTTGGGTGCATGTGTAATGGCATTTCCACATGCACATTCATGCGAAAGCGCATGTATGTGCATGTGGAAATACTTGTAAACTGAGGAATTAGTGAAGACTGGTTGTGCACAGATCAGCATATTTTTATTTCACTTTAACTAGATGACTGCTACGCTTCCTGTAAGAAACTGTATTTTTCATACTATTGTCCAGAGAGAAGGTGTACAGTTACGCTTTTTCTCTATCACTTGCAGTATCTCACATTACTACCCACAAACTAAGTCTTCTGGGTAATTATCATGTATTCATGCTACACAACATTTACCTTTATAACACAAATGAAAATTTATTGCTGACTGGCTGATGTGTTTCTCTCTTCCATTCATACTCCTCTGCTCTTTATTTGACAACATTTGCTCTCATTCATGGTTTTATGTGGTAATTATAGTGTGCTGCTTTTACACCAAACTTTTTTATTATCATATTACGCAGCTCTTTATCTGTCCACCTTGTCTTCTGTCTCTTAGAGACTTATTTTTTTGTCTGCTGATAGGTGACTTAATTGTAGGTTATTTAATTTTGAGACAACAGTCCCACCTCCTGAAAGATTAATTTTTTAAAATATGTCACTGGTAGTGTAATGTGTTCTCTTATTACGTTTATATATAACTATTCTTGAGAGCATGAGACGAAAGTCACTGGAGCAAGACTGCAACGCCTCATCGGCCATGACCTTTTGATTGATTTGTTTTTGCTTTTTTCACAAGCACATTAAATTCCCATTTATAAGTTCAGACCACTGATTTGAAACTTGACCGCGTGTGTTCTTTCTCTACCCAGTACTCTCCCTTGCTGAAGAAGCTCTACTGTCAGATTGCCAAAACCTGTCCAATCCAGATCAAGCTATCCTCCTCTCCTCCGCATGGCAGCATCATCAGAGCCATGCCCATCTATAAGAAGGCGGAGCACGTGACTGAAGTGGTCAAACGATGCCCCAACCACGAACTAGGACGAGACTTCAATGATGGTACAATCTGCTAATCTCTTCTTTTGAACATAAGTAATTATGCTGACATATTTTATACTTTTTATATGTCTCATTAGTGTTTGGCTAATTCTTGCTTGCATGGGGGACTGCATGTAAAAATGAGCATGTAAAATGCAAGTAACAGAGAGCAGCAGAACGTTAAATGCAGTTCACTTAACAACCACAAGCATCATTAAGAACAGCAGTTTTCTGGACATTATACTACACAATAAACTGTACCTGGTATCTGCCAAGTTTAAATAAACCAACTCTCTCTCATGTTTATCTCCTCAGGTCAAGCAGCTCCGGCCAGTCACCTGATCAGAGTGGAGGGAAATAACCTCTGCCAGTATGTGGATGATCCTGTTACTGGCAGGCAGAGTGTCATCGTCCCGTATGAGGCTCCACAGGTTGGTGGTAGTGTACTTGACCTGCAGCGGGTCATAACAGCAGAGATATACATATGCATTGTATCAAGTATTTAAAGATACACAGAAAAAGCCTCTGATAAAATTTAGTTGTTTGTAAAATGGGCATTTTGCAGATATTTCTTTTGTTTTTGGACATTAAGCCAAGAGAAAAGACGAGGCATATGATGAACACGTCAAAGAAACAGTCAGCTACAGTTAAGAATTTTAACACGAGGCTCATCTATAAATAAAGATGCCAGACATGTCCACGCAAGCACAAGACTCATCATGTCTGTCATGAAAAAGTTAATATAAAGTACATTTGTCTCTCATCACATCAACGTGCGCTACAACACCTCCCTCTGGTGGTGAATTGGTGTTTTTGAAAAAAAATTACTTGAGCGATGAAAAGAAATGAGCTTTTTTAAATACCGAGACCTAAAATGGTGTACAGTTACAGTTACACTTCTCACCATTATATTATGGTGATATAAGTACTTATGCACTAATGGAAGCAAAGTAAAAACTAAAACCTTGTTGCTCTGTGTTACAGGTAGGGACTGAGTTTACCACCATCCTATATAATTTTATGTGCAACAGCAGCTGTGTGGGCGGCATGAACAGGAGACCTATCCTCATTATCATCACTTTGGAAACCAGGGAGTAAGGCAACAATTCATATTTCATACACAAACAGAGATATTTGGTTTGACATTTCATCACTTTTTTAAAACATGCTGCAATTAGTACATTTTCTTCTTCTATATAATCTCTGCAGCGGTCAAGTGTTGGGCAGAAGGTCATTTGAAGGTCGGATATGTGCATGTCCGGGCAGAGACCGCAAAGCTGATGAGGACCACTTCAGGGAACAGCAGGCCCTGAATGAGAGTGTGGCCAAAAATGGAAGTGCTAACAAGCGCAGTGAGTTGAAATAAGACTTCATGGGGGAAAAGTTTGTTTTAAATTATAACAGTTAACCCCTTAGCAGTCCAATTAGTCCCCTAAACCATCCAATGTACCGTGGGCGGTACGTCCGACTGCTAACAGGTTAAAGATACAATCATTTTAGCTTTTAAAGTTTCATTCACTTGTGTTTTCCTAATTTAGTTTTCAAATATATAAACAGTCTAGCCCAGAGGAGCATGGTGAATGTCCAGGATCTAAATTTGGACAATAAGTAGTCTCCATAAAGATCAACACACTAACAGCTGAAATCCCAGATATTAAATCTTTTACACCCAATTGAATTGATACTATACTTTGCCATATAATTTCATAACTATTCTTATTTGTAGAATCATATTCTAACTGGTGTACATTCTTATGTGTATTATTGTAGTTTCAGGTCTAAAGTGTGCTACAGTTTCATGTAATGGAAGACTGTAAAATTTTATGTGTGTATTGTGGTTCTAAAAAACCCAACTAGGAACAAGGACTTGAAATTAGCAATATTCATACCCCTCTGTATAAATGAAATTAGCAATAATTATGTGCAGCACATCAGCTTCATGTGAAACCGCATCATTGTTGTTGTACATCATGCTTGGTTGTTTGCTGTCTAAAGCAGTGGTATAAATCTGCTTAATTATGCTTCTGTTTCCCTTATCTGCAGATTTTAAACAGAGTCCAACAAACATTCCCAGTCCAAACATTAACATGAGGAAGAGGCGGCATGGAGAAGAGGAGGTTTACTATATTCCTGTAAGAGCTTTCACACATGTATAATAAGAAAATTTAGATTCATCTATTAGCTTTCTAACTGTCAGACTCACAGTTTGTGAGTTTTTTGCTAATTTATTAAATTGTTGGAACAAAAGCACTATTTGTATTGGATGGACTGATTCAGCAGTCATTGATGGCTTAGGATAACGGTTGTGTCATGTTTGTGTGTAGGTTCGTGGTCGTGAGAACTTTGAGTTGCTGATGAAGATTAAAGACAGCTTGGAGCTGGTGGAGCTCGTGCCACAGCAGCTGGTGGACTCCTACAGACAACAAGCACAGCAGCAGCTGCTGCAGAGACCGTGAGTCACTTCAATGCACACACACTCATTTGGCTCTACATATAAAAGTTGTGTTTTTTATTTTATTAGGAACGTGCATCGGATTTGCCCGTTTTGCTGTTGTTCCTGCATGACCATAATATTGTCATTCCAGGTTTAATGTTGCAACTGAGCAACACTCAATAAAAGTAATATATTACACACTACTTGTTACTTTTTCTTTAAAGTAATGCAGTGCATTACTTAATTACGTCATTCAGCCAAATTTAGGCTACTGATTGTGGTTTGGTTGTGACATTGTTATGATGATGTAGGAACAACATCAACACAGTGCAAAATTCCAAAACACATTGAGTCTTCTGTATTTCATCAAACTGTAAAGTGTCTGTCATGCTCAGTAACACTGAGACAAACTCTTTCTCTAATCTCTGCAACATTCGTCTTTTTCCGTTAGGAGCCACGTGGCATCACCCTCCTCCTATTCTCCACTGTCAAACATGAACAAGCTGCATTCCCACGGAGGCCTCAGCAAGCCACCCTCAGTCAACCAGCTCGCAGGACAGCAGCCCCAGCAACACCACACTGCCCCCTCTTCCATGGCTCATATGGGTGATTATCTATGTGTGTGATTTCGTTTCAAGACATTACTTCCAAAACAGTTACAGTACTTTATCCAGGTTTGCTGCTGTCAGTTTTATTGATCACCCGTCCCTTTCCTACAGGTCCAAACATGCTCAACAGCAACCACATGCAGGCAAATGGAGAAATGAACGGTGGCCACAACAGTCAGAATATAGTGTCTGCTTCTCACTGCAGCCCGCCCCCTCCGTATAACCCTGACCCCAGCCTTGTCAGGTACCTCACCCTCCAATGACACTCCTCCTTTACTCACCTGTAAAAAAAAAAAAAAAAAAAAGGCCGCTTGACAATCAGATGCACTTGTCTGGTTAAATGTAAACTAGTGGCATAAGAATACTTTACTTTACTTGGCCATGTTTACATAGTATTATGTCAAACAGTGTTTTGGAAACGTTCTATTTTGCCACAAAATGTGACAAGATTGAGCTGTTTTTTTGTTTTGTTTTGTTTTTTTTAAACATAATGTTGTGGCTGTTCTGTAAAGGCTTGCAATAACAATGCAGATCTGTAAACACCCTTTGAGAGTGCCATAGTGAAGGCCCACTGGAGACTTGGTAACATGGAAAAAATGTGTATACATGGCACAGTTAAAGTGGAAAAGAACGATAAGTAGAAAGGTCAAGTCAGTAATATTTAAAATAAAAGTGAAAAGAACATTTTTTGTTTTGGGGGTTGTTGTTTTTTTCAGTTTTGGCCCCTTTAATATTAAAATGTTCCTGTTCCGTGCAGAAAAAAATGAAAAACAGAACACAGCAAAAAAAAAAAAAGAAAAAGAAAAAAAAAGAAAAACACCAATGCTTTCAGCTGGCTGGATTTATTATTTCAGGTTTCTGCTAGATGCATATAAGTGTTTAAATCACATGTTTATCAGCTCTCATTAAATAATACAGCATAACCTCTCAAGACTTGTAAAACCTCTGCTATGGATTTGTTACCTGCACTTGAAAAGCAGAAACTGTGTGTCTTACCTAGTTCTAAATTCCTTCACACTGACACTGTGTAAACAGCCATTCTTTGCAATGCAATGCAATGCAGCAGATTTTTTTCTTCAAAAGAAATGTTTAATTTCTATTTAATTTTAAACTATATTTTTTTCTTTTTTCTTTTTAATTAATTTTACTTTTGTAAGCTATTTTGTCCATTTTGCAGTCAAATGACTTGCTCTTGCAATTTTAGCCTTTTTGATACAGCAGGATTTGTCTTTTTGTTTTTGCAGACTATTATGTTAATTAAACCGTTAAATTGTACAGCTAGCTTCTTTTTCCAGTTACTTTGTATGTTACCAAAACGTTAACATTCATGTATTTATAATAAAGCTTCTTCATCAAAGCAATAATGGCCTTATGAATCATTAATATTGTATAAATGTATGTTTATGGTTTTAATTTCACTACAGTTCTTCAGATGTATAGTTTCTGTATCCTTTAGTTTAGATCGGTGCCCTAAATCTCCCTCTTATTTTACTTAGAATAAGCTATAGGGACTTGTCCCCCTATAGATATTACTACAGTAAATCCAGAAAATACTTGTTTTTCTCTTTCAGCTTTTCTCAGGAGTAATGTTTTTGTTTAAGTCCCAGTTTTAGGTTGTATCTCTGGTCTAAGCAGGCCTTCTTTTCTCCCCATACAGCTTTCTCACCAGCCTGGGCTGTCAGAACTTCATTGAGTACTTCACTTCCCAAGGCCTCCAGTCTATCTACCATCTCCAAACTCTCTCCATGGAGGTAACCAGTTTGTTCCTGCACATACAATCTACAAGCAGTAGAAATAATAGACATAATAAGAAATGTTACATGTAATTATTAAAACAAATAAAAGAAAGAGAAGAAAAGGTAAAAATGGCAACAACAAAAAAAACTGCAATAAGAGACACAAAACAGAAAAGTAAAGCAACAAGGTACAAACAAATCCCAGATAATTACTGACCACTAGTGATGATGCAAAGAATTACCTTATTAAGCAGGCTTAATACTTCCTGACTTCCTTTTGCATTTTCAAGCAAACACGTAAAGACACACTCTTATTGCTTTGTGTTTGCTTTTTTGCTACACTCTTGAACTCCTCCAATGTCTGTGTGCCCTCACTAGGATTTGGGTGCGCTAAAGATACCAGAACAGTCCCGCCTCATCATCTGGCGAGGTCTGCAGGACATGAAACAAGGCGCTCCCCTGCAGCTGCCTGCTTCTTCTCATCATCATGACTATCATGGGCAGCAGCTACTTCGCTCTAGCAGCAACATGACTGCCTCCGCAATGGCGGCCATTGGGGCTGCAGGTGGGGAACTGCAACGCCAGCGGGTCATGGAAGCTGTGCACTTTCGCGTCCGCCACACCATCACTATCCCCAACAGGTCCAGCGTTGTTGGGACATCAGGCATGACGGCTGCTGATGAGTGGGCTGACTTTGGTTTTGACATGCCTGACTGCAAGGTGTCACGGAGCAAGCACTCCATCAAGGAGGAATTCATGGAAAGTGACATTCACTGAGACTGAATAAAATCTTGGATCTTCTTTCCCAGAAGTTATTGTCAGCATCAGCTTACTGCAGTGTAACTACGTGACTAGGGTTGTTAAATATGTGTTTAGCTGCTCTTGTCATATTTTGATGATCAACTTTGATCAATTTTGATTCTGAGATATTTTCAGTGTGCTCATGCACTTTCATGTGCAGCCAGAAGTTTGTGCTTGAACTGTTGTTCCATCTAATATTTGAAGATAACATAACAAAGTTTACGTCTTCAGTCTTCAAAGCAAAATGCATTGTAACAATATAATTGTCAAAGCAATGCTGAACACACATGATCTGGACTTTGCTTTTTGGAACGCTGATAAATGCAAAAGCAAATTTTTGGGGGGTGCACTGTGCAATAAGTAATAACACATTTTTCTTTTACAGCATATGTGACATTGTTCACAGTAACATAAATGTCAAAAGAGGTAAATCACCACTGCATTTTATGTTTAGATGCCAAAAATAGGTTCTCATCTGACTTTTTTTTTTTCTTTAAGTTGTCCTTCACTTGTTCAAATGTATATACTTTATCATGTAAATGTTTTGGAGTAGATGTTGTTTGAAATAATAGAGTCAACATGATGTATCTGCTGTTTGAACCAAATGACTAGAACTGGGTAAATCGAATCCATAACTATGGGAACACAATTGTGTATTTTCAGTGGGTATGATAACGTGATGACCGTAATGTGGTTCGGTGTGGTGGTATCGTTTATGTGCGAAAAAAAAAAAAAAAGTGCTTTGGTGTTAGTAGTTGTACGCTGACACTTACTGTTAAAAAATAGTTATTGCCTAATACTTTTATTACGTTCTAGAAAATATGCCGCTCATTATTTTATAGTAACACACTGCAACACAGATAGGAGACAATCAAACAAACAAAAAAAGCATACTCAGTATTATATCTTAATACCAGGGATTTGATTAGATTTGTGAATGGATATTGTGCTATCCCTGTACATCAAGAAAACTAGATAATGAGCAGCATTTTTGTCCTTGTATTTGTATTTTGAAAACCTTGCAGGGCAAGGTACTCATAAATTCATTATAGCTGACTCTGTAGCTAATCTTCATGGCACTTGTTTGTAGGTATTTAATAACATTCCACTTTAATTTCTGGATTGCCATCATGAAGCTGAATGGTTCTCTTATTGTGTTATATTTGCTTGACCTTTACTTGTACCAGGGCGAAGGTTTTTGTCTCCCTTTCTAAGGCCCATTCTTGGAAAGACAATTTTTCGTCGTTTTTCATCTCATTATTACAAATGGTCAGAGAGAGAGAGCACTTTAATGCGATTAAATCATTTAGGTGTTTCAGTATTAACACCACAGTGTAAATAAAAGAATTTCTCCGTTTCTTGTTATGTTTTTTTTTTTTCAAAAGAAAAAAATTGTTTACTGGTGTGTTTTTATTCATGAGCGTTCATTCGTTTCTGCTGTTGTTAAAATCACGAATTAAATTGGTTAAAACGTCTGCCTCTGCGGTCTCTTTTTTCAAAGTGACAAGGTTTTCAACCCAGTGGTCGGAAATAGTACTGAATGTTTAAGGAAACAGGCCAACCAGAGGAAACATTCTGATGCTGCGCTGACTTTTTATTATTTGAACCGAGAAATCGGTTCGTTTGTGATCGTTGAGGTCTGAAGAGTCATAGCGAATCGAGGTGGTCGGATTTCTGCTACTCAGCCTGTGGTATCCTCGCGGAAGTATTGACGTGTACACAGCAGTTTACACGAGAAGTGGCTAATTTAGCTAGCTAGGTAGAGCCGGGTAGTGTCACAGCGGCCGTATCAGGTAAGAAAGAACTGCCATTGACAATTTTCGCTGTAACTGCTAATACAGCTGAGAGACACAAAGAGGTATTGAATCGAAGAATCAACATTGATTGTGATTGCATCATTCACTGAATATGGAGGTGTTTAGTATAGAATGGTTATATTTTAACTGTGCTAGCTAGCTGTGAAACTGTTGGCAACGTAGCACCGGAAGTGAGTTGTCAATTTTGTGAAGCCCTTGCTGGGTGTTGTAGTTTAAATGTGAACACAAACCAATTCTTGCAATCTAGGAGTAGTCAATAATAAACTACAAATTATTTTTTACATACTTTTACATGTGCCCAATCGGAGTTGTGGGAAATGTAGTCTAATACTTTCATTCTAACGGCTGAAGGGGATCAAATGAAGCTGAACAAAACTACATCACCCATACAAACGTTAACTGGGGCCAAAGGTAGTGTACGTTTCGACGGCTAGGACCGCTTTCGGGGCTAATTTCTAAGCTAACGCGAAGAATTTAAAATAATATAATATAAAATAATACCTCTAGTACAACTTATTCAAGTTTTAGTGCACATCGTAGTTATTTTCCATTTTGCAAATGAGCCTATTTTGGTAGATATTGCTTCCTAGATGTTATCCTGCCTTCCTTAAGCTGTGAGCTAGTTATGCAGCTAATGCTAACCAGGCACAACCACAGCTCGTCACGGTCCTGTTCTTTTCCCCATTAAAATAAAAATAGCAAATCATTAAATGTCCCAACGTGTAATGCGTAGTTAGCTAAGCAATCAACCTAGGCTACAGTGGATATAAATGTTGTTTTGGTGAGTAACCGGCAAGCGCACCGAGAATATTTATGATCAGCTAATCAATTAAAATTCTATTAAAGGACCTAGGGTTAGATTTAATTTACAGAGATACATATTTAAATTGTTTATTTAAAGAAAATTACAAAGATTTTGTCACCTTGACTATTTGCGCCTTGATAGTTATCTGATCACTCTGATTAACCCCTCTTCTGGACATATGCACCTCGCAGATACAGGTCTTTCCGGACAGCCTATGTCTATTGTATTTACTTGTATCACAGTTTACAGAGTATATATTACACAAACTGAAACGAAACGTGTGTTCCAAAATGTGCAGTTCTTGGTAAAATCGTTCACAAATTTTCGTTTTACTGGGTATTTATTTCCAAATCCTTTAAGACAAAATGGGCACAGAAGAGTTTGTTATTTGTCAATTTATCACCTCCATTTTGTATCTTCAATTGGGGCCGTTGGTAGACATGGTCATGCTGAATAAGAGTATTGTGCAGTACTCTTATTAAAGTAGATTAAGTTCATACGCCACTAATCAAAATCTTTTTGTCTTTCCAATAAGAATGTCAGAAGGGGACAGTGCTGGGGAGTCAATCCATGGGAAAACTTCTGTTGTGGCTGCCTTTTTCACACGAGTTGGACAGGTAATGTGTGAGATCAAGAATATCATATTCTTTTAAATAGGTTTAAATTTAGGGATACACCGATTGTGAAAATTCTGTCTTTTTAAAATGTCTTTTTAGATATATATATATTTTTGAACCAAGTCATTAAACAAAGACTTACCATTTTAAACATTAGCATTCATTGAGCCAAATCTCAGTAGAGAAATTTTTAAAACTGACTTGCAAATATAAGTACGTCAGAACTGATGTTCACAACAGATAAATATGAACTTCTTGTTTTTCAGCACCTCTGCAATGTTTTTTCTGGTTTCTTTTTGTCACAGGTCTATCAGTCATGGCTAGACAAGTCAACACCATTCTATGCAATGCGGTGGGCAGGAACTCTACTACTTACTCTTGTCTACATGATCAGAGTGTATCTACTACAGGGTTGGTATATAGTAACATATGCTTTGGGAATCTACCATCTCAACCTGTTCATTGCTTTTCTGTCGCCAAAAGTGGATCCCTCACTGCTTGAAGAAGATGAGGGCCCATCCCTTCCCACCAAGCAGAACGAGGAGTTCCGCCCTTTCATCAGGAGGTTGCCTGAATTCAAATTCTGGCATTCAGCGACAAAAGGCATCGTCATCGCCATGCTGCAATGTTTTTTCTGGTTTCTTTTTGTCACAGGTCTATCAGTCATGGCTAGACAAGTCAACACCATTCTATGCAATGCGGTGGGCAGGAACTCTACTACTTACTCTTGTCTACATGATCAGAGTGTATCTACTACAGGGTTGGTATATAGTAACATATGCTTTGGGAATCTACCATCTCAACCTGTTCATTGCTTTTCTGTCGCCAAAAGTGGATCCCTCACTGCTTGAAGAAGGTTAGTCAACTCGGTCTCATTAAAGTAGTGTTTGTGATGTGAACATGGAAGTAGGCTACCTCATGGAGTATTACTAAACTGTTCATTTAGACCTTAGTACTTGCATCTAATCAAAAGTCTAAGCCAGCAATTGCCCAATCTGGGGTTTTTTGTGAGAATTTTCTAATATAACTTTCAATTTATTATGAAAGATTTTAAAATAGTTACTGGAACAATAGACTATTACTGTACACTTGCATATTTACAAGTACGTATCTCAAAACTGAAATGCTTGAGTCCATATAGATACAGAAAGGGCACTGCATCTCAGTAGACAACAAAGTCCCACAAACAGTTTCTTCCTTTGTGCCATCTATTACTACTACTCTTAGGCACTTTGCAAAATGTTCTCTCATCCGTGCCTTTCTATTGTGTGTCTTCCTTCTGTTTTGCATATATTCCTGTCGTCTGTTATTTATTCTTGCTTTCCTACTATTTATATTTTATACCATGCACAGTTGGCGTGGAGCAGCCAAATGTAGTTTTATAGTAGCACTCTGTTTATGAGCAAGTGACCTCCTTGAATGGAATGTGGACAGTAGTGACTGTTCCCAAAAAATATATGAATTAGCCATTTTTACTGTATGTAACTGAAATTGTCCTATTTCTAAAGTGTACGTTGTTGTTGTTGATGTTCTTGTTGCTGTTATGGGATAACTCAACTAGTAACCTATATTATCTACAGATGAGGGCCCATCCCTTCCCACCAAGCAGAACGAGGAGTTCCGCCCTTTCATCAGGAGGTTGCCTGAATTCAAATTCTGGTGAGAGTTCAACATGGTTACCCAGGGAAATTGCAAATTATTTTCTTTAGAACAACCTGTGTGCTGAAAGATTATATTAAGCAAAGCTCATTTAGAAATGGGTGTAGCATTTTAGGGTGAAACTAAAGACACAGAGTTTAAGTCATTTTTGTAAATTTTGATTTGACCTCATTGTCTCAAATTAATTTCTACTTCATTGACATAAAGGTTGTGTCTGTAACCCTGACTTCCAAAAATAGTTTAAATACAAACATTTTCTTCAGATTTTTAAAACCACAACTTAATTTATTTTCACAGCAGCAATAAATTTTACTCACCACCTGCTGGTAGCTTAACTTAGCATCGATTTCTGCCATTCTATGCTGTACCAATTTCAAATTATGTGTTAGGCCTTGAATCTTATTTGCATTTACAAATACTGTGTTCTCTTATATACTAAAGAAGAAAGGGGGGAAAACACACATTTGCTTGATATCTTTTTCTTTATATCAGATATGTACCTGATGCATGAAAATATCATCTTTGTTCCCTTTGCATGTTTATCTGCTTGATTAAAAACAATTTGACTTTCAATGTAACATGCTTACCCATGTTAAGTGGATATTGGGATATAACAATTACAGGATTAAATTATTTGTTCATTTGTTGTTTGGAGGGTTGCTGACTAAACTAAAGATTTTAAGTCTTATATTTTATTACGTCTTGCTAAGAACATCTTTCTGATTTCTACTCAAATTTGTGTCAGACTACACTTTGTTGCATTTTCCACTACCTTCTCTTTGTTAATCTCCAACCGTACCTAGTGATTTAGTACTGTGTAAAAGATTTAGGCAGAAAACAAACAAATACATCAGTACAAATTATCTTAGATACTGTGGAATACAATTAAAGTACATGTAGCTGGTCAGTTCTCAAGAGAGTATTCAGTCTGTGTTGGACCTATTTATTAGAAAGGTCTCACTCTGTTTTACTCTTAAAAGAATCTCAAGCCTGCGGTCTAGTTTCAAACGAAACATTTTAAAATGCAAAAGCCTAACCAGATAAAAGTTTTAGCGCTCTGTCTACTCTATATGCAGACATTCTCTTTCTCTTTATAACTTACATAATCATGTTCTTCTGTACACGGCTGTACATGGACTCCTTGTTCTTGTTGCTTAAGATAACACTTTGACTCTGACTGTGTGTTTACTTTTCTTTTCAGGCATTCAGCGACAAAAGGCATCGTCATCGCCATGATTTGCACATTTTTTGATGCCTTCAATGTGCCAGTATTCTGGCCTATACTTGTAATGTACTTCATCATGCTCTTTTGCATCACCATGAAGAGGCAGATTAAAGTAAGTACAAACATACATCTCTTTGCTTAGTACATATTGATCATAGCTGCATTAGATTAACAGTAATAGGGTGCTTTGGGTCTGGAGGAATGTTTTCATCATCCATAGTCCCTATTTGAAACCTTGAGTTAAGTATTCCGACCAGTGACATCATGACATATTGTGACAATAAGTATATCTAACTAAGAAGCCAAAGTCACTGGAACTTATTAATTAGAAGGTAATGATGCCTAAAGCACAACTCATTTTTGTCTGTTTAGCATTTCTCTTAGAGTATAATTGTATTTAATTTTAAAAAAATCACCTAGTAATAAAGATACTATATCAAGATATGATATCATATCTTGATATAGTATCTTTATTACTAGGTGATTTTTTTTAAATTAAATACAATGTCATAAATCAATTAAGTCATTGTGTTAGAGCCTACATAGTTGGATTTTGTTTGTTTTTTTTAATCTCAGAGGAGTGGCCATTGTAAACAATCATTTCACACACCCCAAGGTTAATTGCATTTTTTTTTATATACATACAGCAAGCAAGGACAGGACTATTACAGTTCTTTGAACTCAGTTAACAATATTGAACAATAGTCCTACACCAACTGCTTCCCTGCTGTTGCATAACTAAATCTTACTGTTAGAGTCTTACTGTTAGAATCTTACTGTTCCTGAAGATATGTTGTTCAAGAGTGAGTTGCCCAGTGTCCCTATGACAGTTTGGTCTGAAAGTGCCTACAGTGCAATAAAAACATTGCAGTCCACAAATTGCTTTTGGGTTAGACAGAGCCACAGGTTTAACCTTATATTTTATTGAAGGATCTTTATTGTATGAAAAGGGTGTCATTGTTGTTATCTGCAGTGCAGTTTATATTGTGGTTCTGAATGTGTTGTAAAATATGCTAAGTCACTAAAAGTGTATGCACAAGCCTTAAAGTAAGTGTTGCTAACTCTCCTTTTTACTTCCTTGTCTTTTCTAGCATATGGTCAAGTACAGATACCTACCCTTCACACATGGGAAGAGGACATACAAAGGCAAGGAAGACACAGGGAAAGCTTTTGCTAGTTAAAAAAACTCCCACTCTCCCTTCCTCTTTGTTGCATTTAAAATTTATTGGCCATAGCCATTGGGGAATGATGAGGGTTAGAGATGTATTTTCTTTTCGTCAGTTGAACAGTAACATGAAAACATGAAAAATACAAGTTTTGATCCACAGTGTTCTCAGTGTTGGACGAGGATACGAGCAGCATGGATCAAATTAGTCTAAAAATCTAAACTACTCCCTTTTTCTATTGAGGGTTTTTTTCTGTTTGTTTGCTTTTTGGGGGCTTTTTTTGTTTTGTTTTTCAAGGATTGATCTGCAGTTACTCAGTAATAGTTAGGACTAAGTGCTACCTTTTGCCTTTCTAACCCTAAAGAGTAACAGTAAAGACATCAAAACTGAAAGAAATTTGCAGTAAAATGAGTGATTTTTTTTTTGTTTGTTGTTGTTTTGTTATGCTTTGTTTCCACTGGTTTATTCCAGTACACCCCCTCTCTAAAATTCACTAACTTTTAATTCATGTAATTTCTCATTTTCTCATTTACAAAAATATGATAAAGTTGTTAACGTGATATCAGATGGAAATGCAAGAGTCTTCAAATTAAAAATTTTCATCTTTGTGATGAGAATATCCTGCTGCTCTGACTTAAATATCTCTGGCACTTGTCCTTTGTTCTAAATAAAGATACCTGGAAAAATTGGCTGCTTTTTACGTGAATATTCTTTCATGAAGCCCCCCCCCCCAAAAAAAAAAAAAAAAAAAAAAAACAAAAAACTTCCTGTTAATCTATAAAATGAATTACATCCAGCCAGCACAATGTTTAAAAACTGTGATTGTACATTTGATTTGTTAGCTACCCTGTATAATTTCGTAATTCAAGGAGAGTGTCACTAATCCCAGATAACGTAGTTGCCTGTAGTCTGCAGTCATTCTTAAATCACTTATTTCTACTTTTCCGCCTTCGTAGAGTTTAACTACTGGGGAACTGGGATGGAAATCATTTTGGGTGTAATTACCCCAGGGAGAAAAATTGGGTGACTGAGCAATTAACATGAAATGGCAAGTCAATGAATTTGCTTTACCTCAGATTTTTAGACCGTTAAGTGGGTATTTATTCAAAACCTAATGTGTCCTAAAGTGCATAACCAGTATTCCAGATAAATTCATAATGTGGCTTATTTGAGAGCAGTCAATCAAGCAAGTTTATTTCAATGACCCCATCTCTTTGAAATATTTAGCAATCTTTGTTTCAAAGACTGAGGCTCATTTGGAATTTGTAGACTGGCTGTTGTTGTCTTTCACATTCTGTGTAAAATCTTTTAAGAGTTGTGGCAAATGTAGTCATTCCAAGCAAACTGTTGTTCTCTTTCTTTTTCAGAGGAAACATAAGAAAACAGAGATTGAGAGCTTTTATTAAAAGAAATGGATGAAGTGGGTGGCGATCACATACTTTTCTATGAACCAGTTGATTTTTTTTTCTCCTTTTTTTTTTTTCTTTTTTTCAAAATGCTGCAAATCTGTGATTATTAAACTTTGATCAGCACTGTAGTAAGGGATCAAAAAATTTCCTGTAAAAAGTTTGTGTTTCAAAGGGTTGTCTGGGTTTGTGTGTATATAAATATATATATTTTAAAATATAATTTTTTTTTTTAAGATTTTTTTTTTTTTTCATCCACCGCCATACTGTTTGAGTGTGAAAAACTATTTCAGTTGAAGTTTATGGAAGTAAAACTGCTAAATTGGGTTCCAGATCTGATAAATTAAATGTTTTTCATGGAATTGCATGTTATTTTCTTGTGCTACAGTTACAAACAGAAACTTGATTTTAATAACTTAAGTGTAATTTTTTCACTCCAAATGCTATTAAAGAGGCTGTGTCCCTTTGAACAGTGCATTTGAATCTTGGCTTCATATTTTATAAGTATTCATGGAAAGGGGTAGCCTTGCAACTAAAGACAGTTGGAGAGGTCCAGTGCATTTCTGTTTATCGTAATCAAAATTTATTTTTGTACAGCTCTTTCTTTGTAATTTTTTTTCTTTTTTAAGTTAATGGCACATATGACTGGAATCTGAATATATTTGGTCACCTCTATAAAATAAGGAAATTCATTGTTATCTTTTGAGTTGTGTCCAGCATTATCAGATTAATGAGACAAAGTTGCCATTTAGCTGCTGATCTTTGCATACTGATTTGTGAATCCTTCAATGATAGATATTCCTCAGAGGCTCCAGCATTACCAGCGGCTCATAACATCAGACAGAGTGTTAAGGCTCACCGTAGACTGGTAAATACTTCTTGTTTTGAGAATGAAGAGCATTGTTGTCTATCACTGTGTACTGGGGTGTTTTCTACATGCTTTGGCTCAATACACTGTTTCAACATCTGAGTTTTGGGTGGAAGGAGATTATTTGATAGGTGGACTTTTTAATATTCATCAGCTGAATGACTCTCTTCTTCATCAAAGACCAGAAGCCATTGACTGCTCCAGGTTAGTTAAACTCTGTTGGGTACTTTCTTGTGATAAAACTAATAAAAACAGAAAAAGTTTACTTGACGCTGGTTAAACTGGTAATAGAAATCTTAAACCAGTGAAATGAATTGCTGTGTTATTAATATTTATTTTTTAAAGTCAGCACTGCTGACATGGTCATTTAGCTAGAAATCCTATTTTAGATGATCATAATTATTTAGGGATGTCCAAAATTGCACATATTTACTACAAGCATTGCAACGGAATGTATTACTGTCCTTCATCTGCCCACAGTGCACCTTTTATTCTGTCCAGTTATCGAAGGTTTCAAATGATGAGATTCTCTGTAGAAGAAATCAACAATTCTACCAAGCTACTGCCAAATGTGTCACTTGGCTATGAAATCTTTGACCACTGCACAGATTTTGTGAGTTTCCCAGGACCTTTAAACCTAATCTCTGATAATGGCTTTATGCGCCCTCTGGAAGAACCACACAATTTATCCAAAGTGATAGCAGTGGTCGGGACCTATACAAGCCCTCAGGCACGAGCTGTAGCCCCACTGTTCATGATGAATCTCATTCCAATGGTAAACCTATGAGCCCTTATGTACTTTGACATTTTTTAAACCAGATCAATATTTTTTATTAAAAAATAGTCTTTACAAAAGTTAAATCAAGAAATGATGTTTTCCATGTTTAAAATAATACAAGTTTCAGGAGTATAAATGATTGGTTATTGTTAATGATCACAATGACATTTTCTCTGTTGCTCTTAACAGGTCAGTTATGGAGCTTCCAGTTCAATCTTTTCAAGAAAACAGACCTTTCCCTCTTTCTTAAGAACAGTGCATCCTAATGAAGAGGTCATAAAAGGCATTGTTGGTATTGTCAAGCGATTCAACTGGAAATGGGTTGCTTTTCTTTATGTTAATAATGATTATGGAACAGATGGCCTGGACTTGTTTTTAAAAGCAATTAATGAGACTGACATCTGCCTTGCATATAGCAAAGGCCTTGATCAAGATACAGATTACAGTCTAATGTTTAGACAGATTGATGCAAAAAACATTAATATCATTATTGTTTTTGCACCTGAATGGACTGTTGAAGAACTCATGGAGTCAGTAAAAAGACAAAATGTTACAAACAAGGTGTGGATAGCAACTGATACATGGTCCCTAAACAAAAAAATAATAGACCAGATACAAGGAAGCAAAAATATTGGCACTGTACTTGGGGTTGCTCAGCCTAAAATGTCAATACCTGGTTTTAGTGAGTTCATTCATTCTTTCAAGGCCAAGAATCACTGTGAAAATGCAGAGCAACAGAAGTTTTGTAATCAGGTTTGCAACTGCAGTAGCCTGACTGCTGAGGAAATCATTGATGCAGATCCATCGTTCTCTTTTCCTGTTTATTCTGCCGTGTATTCCATTGCTCATGCCTTACACAATATGTTACAATGTGGAGCTGATGGATGTAAAGACAGTATTACAGTCTACCCCCATATGGTAAGCATTCTAACTATTTGATCATTTCTCACTTTACTTTTTGAAAATGATCTAAGAGTGAATAATTGTTCCGTAGTAAAACCAGTGATAGTGTATATGAAGTATGTGATAAGCTAACTGGAATCTCAGAGTTAGTTAAACTTGTAGTTAAATAATAATAAAAACGACAGAATTATTAGGTTAAGCAAATTGTGTTTGTCCAAACCTCAGTCATTGTGAACTCAGTGTTACTGTTGTGTTCCAACATCAGGTTCTTACAGAGTTGAGGAAGACAAATTTTACCCTTTTAAACCAAACCATTCAGTTTGATGAGAATGGTGACCCCATGTTTGGATCCCACTCGGTCGTTTTTTGGGGCCCCAGTGGTGATGTGCAGGAAGTGGGCTATTATACTTGTCATCCATCATTCCATTTCTTCATCAACAACACCAAAATTCAGTGGCATACAAGTGCACAAGTACGTAGTAGTAATAAGTTATTTTATTTGTTTTTTCAACACAAAGGTTAATAATAAAATTTAATTTTAGCAATTTAGTTTTTTAGACTTCTAGATATAAGCACACAGCAGCTACCAGTTGTAGGTGTTCATAAGGTGATTTGCATGGCTGTCTAGATATAACAGGCAAATACTTTTACATGTTACAAAACTATTTTAGAAATTCAAAAAACCTGTGTGAATATATTTAATGACTGGTACTTTCCCCGTAATTTACCATTACAGTAAATGGTACGGAGGTGCAGTATCTTCTTCTGACCTTTTTACACCCAATATTCTTGTGTAGGTACCAACTTCAGTCTGTTCTGAAGAATGTAAAATAGGCTACAAGAAAACACAACTTGGAATCCACAAGTGTTGCTTCAGTTGCACAATTTGTCCACGTGGGACTTATATCAACAGCACAGGTAAACTGTTTTTGAATGACAGTAGAAAAAGAGTGAAAGTAGTGCTGTCACTTGTAATGGAAGTTAAAGTTATGCTTTTTAAAGACTATTATTGTTTTCATATAGACTAAGCCATAGTCTTCCATTTTTGTTCCAGTCACCGCTCATATAAAAGCAGCCAATTATTAGTCATGATAGATTTACACTAAGATGCGAACTGTAAACTACAGGGCAGGTTTAACATGAAGGAAAATCTTTAGAGAGCATAGTGTATCACAGGTCAAATGTTTGTAGTTTAAAACAGACATAAACACCTTTTGAAGCTTTCATTTTTAAATTCTTGTTATTTTTAAAGCAATTTTGCATGGTTCACAATCTTTGCTTGAATGTTGGTACGGCTCAGTTCATCAACAATATGATGTTATCTCTTCCTCTAAGCCTGCTTTCTGATTGGCTGTACCACATATAATTTCCATAAATAAAATTCTGTGCCGATCGACACCTTGTCTACCGCTTGCCACCACGGAGGTCATGAGAACTGTAACATGACAATGGATGGGACAAACATCAGAAGAAACAAACATTTGTTAAACAATACGTTAAATATTTGCTTATTCAAGGGCACAATAGTAGATCTAGTTTTTCAATCATAAGCTGTGCTTACAAGTTGATCAGTCTGAACTTTACAAAATCTTGTGCTTGCGACTACTGATAACTGACTACTGACGACTAATGACTAACTAAACGACTAAAAATTGTGTGTTTAAATACAAACACAAACATACATGTATGAACTCTCAATGGAGAAAGGTATCATGGGTCTACTTTAAAGATGACCATATGCTTCTTTTCTGCCCATCTCTCTTGTGAAACAGACAATCCCTCCAAGTGCATCACCTGTAAAGACACAGAATGGTCTGAAGAAGGAAGTACATCATGCAGTCTGCGGGTGGTGGAGTATACACCATTTACAGACATTTGGGCTATAGGGATCATGGTTGGTGCCTTTATCTTGGTGTTCATCTCACTGGCCTTGTCTGTTCTCTTTGCCCTTAACTACGACACACCTGTTGTCAAATCTGCTGGAGGACCAATGTGCTTTCTGATTCTAGGTTGTCTCAGTCTGTCTAGTCTTAGTGTATTTTTTTATTTTGGCAAACCAACAGATGCTTTTTGTATCTTAAGATATTTACCATTTTTTCTATTCTTCACCATTTGCTTAGCATGCTTTGTTGTACGTGCATTTCTAATTGTGTGCATTTTCAAAACAGCTACCAAGTTCCCAGTGCTGTACAGCTGGTGGATGAAATATCACGGGCAGTGGATGTTCATTGCTGTGGTGTTTGTGACCCAGGCAATCTTTCTTCTTATTAACTTTACATATGCCCCCCCAAGACCTAACATTGACATGTCTTGGAACTCAAGAAAAATTATACTTTACTGTGAGACTGATTTTAAAGCAGCATCTGCTTCTCTGGTTTTACCTTTATCATTGTGTGCTCTTTGCTTTGTTTTCTCTTATATGGGAAAAGACCTCCCAAAAAATTATAATGAAGCCAAAGCAATAACCTTTTGTCTCCTCCTGCTGATGCTCACCTGGATCATCTTTGCCACTGGGAGAATCCTTTATCATGGGAAGCACATTCAGCCTCTGCAGAGCCTGGCAGTGCTCTCCAGTCTCTACTGCTTTTTGCTGTGGTATTTCTTTCCCAAATGTTACATTGTGATTTTTCAATCTCACAAAAACACACAGCAGTACTTCCATGGTCTCATTCAGAGTTATACCAAATCAATAAACCAGGAGATGCCTCGAGTAAATATTCGTTGATATAGACAGAGGATTTCAGTCTCTGTATTCTGGTAATAATAGGTCCTCTTTAAAAGAGGATAGGGTGGTGATTGTTTCAGAGAATAACTTCACATCACATACACAATGATCTAAATGTTGGTCTTTAAAATATATATTTAAAAGTTTTGTGTAACAAATATTATTTTGTTTATATTAAATATCATTAAAAACATGATAAGAATTAAGTTAATCGATCTTTAATAGATAAGTGGTAAAGAAATACCTGAACATATAATAGGAATAGGAACTGACTTATTTTGATGTTGGAGGATAATGAGATTACACTAAAAATATTTTATAAATTTATCATGTACAGGTTTCCTATGTCTAAATGTTTGGTTCATCAGTGGACACTACTGTTCTTTATTTTTGTTCTTGTTTTTCCTTTTTTAATGCATTTCTTACACTTCAATATTTCAGTAATTTTACTGTAGAAACATGAACAGGTAGAAACGGAGGCTGCAAGCCTGACTGCTCATCACTACCTTTTGTTATCTGTTAAAGATCAGGCTCTGGCTCCTGGGCTGGGGCTGCCACGCAATCAGCTTTAACATCTTTCTGGATTCTTGGCTAGCTTTGTGGTAGAATTCTGTTTAAATCTTGCAAAGAGCTGAAGTTGAGTTATCAGTTTCACGCAGTTGTTTCTTTCTTGGATGAAGTTTGCAACTTATAATTTTACTCTTGTCCTTTTGTGAAATAAAAATAAAAGTATTGTCCTCATCACTGTTCTACAATTTTCCTCCTCCTGCACATGAACTGAAAACAACTGACTGTAGCTTAAGTGCACAGGTTGAAAAAATGTTATTTGATTTTTCTTTCTGTCAGCTTGGAGTGCCGATATTTAGGATCCTTTGTAATTCTAGTGTCCGCATAACTCCTGATTGTAACTGTAATGTAATTACTGAATTTAATACAGTAATACAACACATTACATTTCTATATTATTGAAAAATGTGATTACGGTAACACATTACATTCATCACTGCAGAGAAGGAGGACTGGACCAGGACAAAAAAAAAAAAGTCTCCGCCCTGCAGGTGGTCTACCCTTTAGGCTCAGGTCCTATATCAGAGGATTGGGAGCTTGAGGGTCCTACACAGTATCTTCCTAGTCCTGCGCTCTTCGGCACAGAGTTCTCGGATGTTGTTGCCTGGATCTGCTGGAGCCACCCACCCAGTCGATTCACTTTGTATAGCTACATCTTTCACTACAGCCATCTTCTTATATTAATTGATCATAACTGTTGAGGGATGCCCAAAATTTCAATTATTTACTGTGTTTAATAAGTATTAAAACTGAATTCATCACTCTTCTTCATCTCTCTGCAGAAGAAATCAACAATACTACCAAACTACTGCCAAATGTGTCTCTTGGCTATAAAATATTTGACCATTGCACAGATACTATCAATTTCCCAGGGGCTTTTAACCTATTTTTTAATGGTTGGTTTAATCCAACCTCTGGAAGAACCACACAAGAATTTGTGATAGCAGTGGTTGGGACTTATACAATATAGATTTATGTTACTGTGACTGATTATGTTGACATTTCTCTTTTACTTCTTTAACAGGTCAGTTATGAAGCTACCAGTTCAATTTTTTCAAGAAAACAGATTTTTCCATCTTTCTTGAGAGCAATGCATCCCAATAAAGACATAGCTGACCTGATTTTTTAGCATTTTGAGGGAGTTCAACTGGAAATGGGTTGCCTTCCTTTATGCTGATGATGATTATGAGAAAAATGGTCTAGAATTATTTATAAAGAAAATTAAAGACACTGATATGTGCCTGGCTTATAACAAAGGCCTTGATCACAAGTCCCATTACAAAGTTGTATTGAAACAGATCAATTCACAAAACATAAATGTCATTATTGTTTTTGCACCAGAATGGACAGATGAAGAACTCCCCAAAAGCTGATTCTGTTCATCTGGACATAGTGTTTTCAGTGGGAGAAACATTTTATCATTCATCCAAGTGACGTCTTCAGTCTCAGGTGACTGCAGGTTTCCCCAACCTTATAAACAGTACATTTGCATAATGACTGAAACCAGCACCACTGAAGGAACAATGAGCTGGGAGGTCAGTGAGACTGAAGAAGTCCCTTTGATGAGTGATGTGGTTAGACTGGCTTTGTCCTGGGTGAGGAACCAGACAAAGGTTCAGAAGACCCCTATGAATACAATATCAAGGGAACAGTTCACCCTGCCCAGGATAGTGTTACCGGGGCTCTGCCCTGGAGCCAGGCCCAGGGAGGGTGGCCGAGGGCGAGTGTCTGGTACCCGGGCCTTAGTCCTTGGGACCCGGCCGGGCACAGCCTGAAAAAGGGACATGGGCCTATCCTTCTGCAGGAAGCGCCATAGGGGTCAGGTGCAATGTGTACCGGGCGGCGGCATTCTCTACTTTGTACATTTGTCAATGAATGACACCATTGTGAGAGCGAGAGAAAAATGAACTAGCAATACAACAAGACTCATCAATAAACCAGGGCAGATAATGGTTTGAGCATGAGCTTTCTTTCATTAGTGGCAGTTTGCAGATTGATAAAGAAGTGAAACCAGATTCTCAAAATCCAAACAATGAATTAGTTTAATGCAAACAATGTTAAGGCTTTACTGAATCTTTTAGCAAATTTTTAATAACCTTAAAAAACATAAAATAAATGAAAACATAAAACAAAACATTAAAAGACAGATAGGCGCGACCCTTTGGAAACATCCCATCAAATCAATAAAAATCTAAAACTGGTCCATTAGATTAGTTGGTTTTTATTTTGTTTGTTTTATGTCATAACATGAAAAGTCAAAAATTTATAACAGAATTGACAGAACATCTAAATCTAAACTTATCACTACTGTATCTTAAACAGTAGTGATAAGTATCTTAAACACTAAAAGCTTTTTTTAAAGTTAACAAAAAGAGATGGTGAGATATTCTGAGCGTACTATTAGTACATTTCGAATAACTTATCATTACTACTCTATATCTTAAACTTAGCAGTGACTGTGTAGGTAGGAAGAAAAAGAAATGTGTAAAGAAATGTGTGGCTGATGGATTTGCCACATAAAGACTCTCTAATGGAGACTGCCCTTGAGTGAGTGAGAAATACTCCATCTGTGGTGTAAATGAAGACCTGTTCCACCACCCCGACACCATACCCAGTACATACAATATTAACATTAACAATTTTTGGTAGAAAACAATAAGGGAAGCACACGGTGGGGCGGGACCCATCGGTGTCAGTCTGGACTCTGTAGTACCCGCTCCGGAATCTTTGGCGTTCCTGCTGCAGTAACGAAAAGGAACAAACAGGTTAAAGATGCTCCAGTCATTAGAGATCAGAGGACAAACATTTAAGGCTGAAGTGAATACAGTGAATACATGACAGTATTTTTTTTTCTTGAAATATCCACCACTGATGCTTACAGCATTGTGCTTACTCACCTCTTCCTGGTCAGCCTCCTCTCTCCCACGCTTGAAGGCAGAGGTGGAGGGCTGAGGGCTGGATCTCCTTGCTCTCCAGTCACGGTTCAAGTGTAAACCAGAGGTGGAGGGCTGGGGGCTTGACCTCCTCACTGGCTGGGCAGTGTTTACCTGTTAGAGATGGAGTAATGTGTGTCAAAACTCTTGGCTTGTCTACAATGCCAGTTTGTATTTTTTCACCACTCAGTTCTTGTTTTTGTAGGATTTAGAAGATGTCAAAACATTTACATTGTCTATGAGCTTATGAATATGCTTTCTACTCACCTCTTGATTGGCATCCTTCGGTCGTCTATATTGGAAGCCAGAGGTGGAGGGCTGAGGGCTGGAGCTTCTCGCCAGCAGAGCACCAAATGTGGCCCAATATGTTTTTTCGGGAGGGTGTTGGAGGGATTCAGGGCTGCTGTCCTCTAGCCACTTTGTCTTCATCTTTGCCTGTCAGGGACATTCAACAACCAGGTAAACATAAAGGGCAAACATACTCAAATATATGAAGTCATGGTACAAGTTTTGTTGTGATCTGCTTTGTTTTATTCTTGCTATTATTTACAGTTAAACCATTTCAGTGTTGATGTACTAATACCCATCAAAACACTGGTGCTGAATAAATAACAGTGACTGACACTGAGATCATAATTCTGATTGCCAAAGCTGCCAGACAGGATTCAAGGTGTAAAAAAAAAAAGATTTAGTTGTATTTATTTCACTGTAAGACATTTTCTTAAAGAACTAAAAGAAGTTTTGTGGATTAAACAATAATGAAATGAAAAATATATTCTAGAAACCACTGTTCTGTTACTAAAATGTTAACTGTAGTGAAAAATATATTGTAGGTTTATGTTTTCTGTTTCAATACACATTTCAAGTAATTTTTTATCATGATATGACACCACATTTAAAGGAAAAAGCAGAGCATTAGAAATATTTCATTTTTACATAGATATAAACAAAATGAAAACAGTTCATTTTATCTGAAGATTTAAGTTTTGTAATGCCTTTTTTTGTTATCATTATTAATATTAGTTTTGTTTTGTTTTGCTTTTTTAAATTTGGTCAGTGGTTATTATTTTGTTTACCTTTAAAATTTTTAATGAGTCAAATTCAGTAACTGTGTGTGTAAAGGCTACAGCTGTGTGGAAGGAAGGAGACAGGTGCCAAATGCAGGACTTGCAGGACACAGAGGGATGAACTAAACGAGCTTGCGCTCTAGAGAGCTGAAATAGGGGTAACAGAAAATAAAGCATAATAACTAGAAGCTAAAAAAAAGTAAGGTCTCAGGAAACTGGAAAACAAGAAATTTGTGTCCCACAGTAAAGGCACAGAGAGACAAGACAGTGAACAGAGGGAAGGCACATTAACAAAATTAAAGACTGGAAATAAGGAGATGCTAAAGAGCTTACAGAACTAGAAATACAGAAACAAAAACCAAGAGACTAGCAATGAAAAATCATAACAAATTTAAGTTCAATTCATAACAATAATAATACAAAACACAAAACACTGGGTCACCGACTGAGGACCGTGACAGAGTGTCTGTTATATTTACCACAAGCTGCTTTAAAGGTTCAAAATAAATACAATAACTAAAAGATGCTTTTTCCTCTTGTTACAACAAAACAGTGATTCAAAAGGTTTCCTTTCACAGGACTGCACAGAAAAAATGCAGGAATGTAAAAAAAATTGTACAATCTTTAGATTTGCAAATATGAATTTCAAGTTTAATTACCTGAGCGATTCAAATGAAGTGACAGTTTAATGTATCTTTGCTAGATTTTGTTTTTTGGTGAGTTAGTTATGGGGATATTTTCCTGCCTCACACTTACTCTATTGTCAGACGTAGAGATACATGCAGCTGCTGAAGGCCAGGTGTAACGTGACCAATGGATGGAGTTTCACTGACGATGATTCCCTTTTATTTTTCCACAGAGGGAGTTTGCTGGTGGGTAGTGGAGCGCCAGGGAGGAGGTCAATTGAACAGTCATATGCTAAATACTACCTGGATATTCTTGGGGGACTGTTGTTAGTTCTGATAGGTGATGATGGCTAGAAGATGACTGTTTAGTGCTGAAGCAGTGATAGGTTATTTGAGTGGTTTAATGGAATGCAGACTTGTTCAGTAAGTGTAGAGTCTAAAAGGTTTTGTTCAGCTGCAACTAAGGCTTGCAGAGGTGATAGAGTCATAATTGTAACAGAGTGTGGCAGGAAGAGTAAGGCTGTAAAGTGCAGTTTGTAATAAGCCACCCACCAGTATCTCCAGCTTTACTGGATGTCTGGCCTCTTGGCAAGAAACAATGAAATGACCTGGTTGACCACAGTAAATGCAAACTGTATGCACCTCTGCCACTCCTCCCATGATAGTTGGGCTCACCCAGTTTGCATCAGCTCTGGGTTGTTAACACCTGATGGGCGAGTCGGTTGACAATTAAGATAACTTCTATGACAACAAATGTACAGGGTGCAAGTCAGTTGTTATATATTGAACTTTAGCTACTAAATTAAATGATGTTGACAACAAACCTATGTTTCTCTTTAATTTAGTGAAGACTATTATTTTAAACATACTCACTAGATTATACTGCATGCAACTTAACACACTCAGGACATTCAGTCTTTCAGTTCTTTCTCTTGGAAAATTTAAATTGCGTTAATTTTACATTTAAGCATACAGCGTTTTACATGAGAAAATGTCATTCAGTAAAATTTCAGTGTGGTGTCTGTTCAGCTGTGTCGAATATAAAGCGCCTTGAGGCGACTGTTGTTTTGATTTGGCTCTGTATAAATAAAATTGAATTGAAGTCCAAAATGTCCATCAGTTGTGTGTAATAATGAGAAAAGTATTGAACAAATACTTAACCCTAACCCCTTAGTACAAATTAATATCAGCTGGTACAGTCCAACCTGATGGCCTATAAAAAGGTATCTCATTACCAGGGTGTCACACAAGAAACTTACAGTATCACGGTTGTGGATTTTGGATAAAACCCTCTATGTATGCTTTCTATCATATCTACTCATGCCTTTTTTTTTTTTCATTTGTGGTAACACAAATGAGGAATGCTGACCCACATCCACCCATCCACATTAAGGGGACAGCTGTGGAGCGTGTGAGCAGCTTCAAGTTCCTGGGAGT